CTGCGTATGGAGGGGAAGATTTGGGTGAGAGGCAGAGAAAACTTCGCTGGTATACTGTATAGCAGAAAACTAAGGCTGTGTAAGGCTATGACAGTGGGGTCAAGCAACATCCGATTTTGTGTCACAGAGCAGAATTTTGAGAAGGGATGGAAAGAGGAGGATTATACGGCTGTGGGAGTCTTGGAATGTGAATGTAGTGGAGCATTTTGAGACTTTGATATCACTTTTAGAATGTTCTTGCTAATCATCGGAAAACTTAGGTCAGAAGGGACCTCTGGAGTTCATCTGGCCCAGCCTCCCGCTCAAAGCAGGATCAGCTTCAAAGTTAGGTCAGGTTGCTCAGGGCCTCATCCAGTTGAGTTGTGAAAGTCTCCAAAGATGGAGATTCAGCAACCTCTTGGCACTCTGTTCCAATGCTTAATTTCCCCACTTTTTGAAAAGTATTTTCTTATATACTATCAGAATTTTCCTTGCTCAGCTTGTGCCTGTTGCCTCTCCTTTTGCTGTGCACTCTTTGGAGGAGTCTTGCTCTGTAACTTGCTTTGCTCCCTCTTCCCATCCCCCCTTTGCTGCCCTCTTTCCCCCCTGCCCCCTTCTTCAAGCTAAATGGAACTGGCTCTCTAAGCCTGTCCTCATATGTCACGTGCTGTAGCCTCCCGGCTGTCTTAGTCGCCTTCTGCTGGATTCACTCCAGGTGTCAATGGCTGTCTTATACTGGGGGCCCAAAACTGGATACAGTATTTCAGATGGAGCCTCGCCAGTGCTGAGGAGAAGCAGTAACTCAACCTGCTGGCTGACCTCTTGCTAATGCAGCCCAATATGAGGATGGCCACCTTTGCACAGTGGCTTGTTCAGCTTATCTACCAGGAACCCCACATCCTTCTGTGCAGGGCTGCTACCTAGCCAGTAGACCCCAGCCTGTATTGGTGCGTGGGGTTATTCCACCCCTGGTCTAAAGCTTTATGTTTCTATTCACTGAACTTCTGAGAATCCTTCCAGTCCGTTTCTCCATCTTATCAAGGTCCTTCTGAATGGCAGCCCTGTCCTCCAGCATGTCATTCATGAGCCTGTGCTGAGGGTCTGCTATGTCCCATTGTCAGGCTTGTTGAAGGCATTAGACAGCATTGGCCTGTGAGGAACACTGATTGTAATGGGCTGCAGTTGACAACTTTGAACTTTTGACCACTATCCCTTGAGAGTGTAAGGGTATTGCTGCCAGAAAAGATATCTGTAACTATATGAAAACTTAGTCCTTTGACTCTGAATCTTACCATTATTGTAATACCTCCATTGCTGCATTTTTTCTCCTTACTGAAAAGAGCAAGGAGATTATTTAGTACTCAACACTGTGTGGTTAATTCTTTTTTTTTTTTAGCAGAGTGGCTTGTTGTATTTGCACCCAAGAGGGAAACGGGTATCCTCCTGGAACGTGGGGAACATCTGGTAACAGTTATTGTGCTTTTTTTCCTGCATTGATTTCAGTCTGCTGGATTTTTTCCCAGAGCAACGCTGGTAGCTGAGTTGGTTCAAAGGGCTGAAGTCATGTTGCAGGATAAAGTGAAGGAGGAGGATGCTAATCATGACAAGCTGCTGGAAGAGGTGTGCGCTCTTCTGTATGAGGAAGGGGCCCAGGCACTCATCAGAGGCAGAGAGTAAGGAGGAAAAGCTATTTAAACTTGTGCCTTCCCTTCTGTTTTTTATTGCGGACTCTGTAAGCCTAATCTGGCTTAGCCTGTCATGCTCGGGTTCTGGTAACTATAAATCCTGACCGCTGCCCTTCTTAGGGTGACGGTCTGCTGTGCCTCCAGCCAGTTAATGTCGTATTTGTAGGAGGGAATAAAGGTGCTGTGTGTCCCTCTGCATCCAGCTCCGAACTGACATCCACTGCAGTTACTATGTTTCCCGTCTTTGGAAAACTGAGTATTGCAGCTTGGAGGCCTATAGTTTGTGTTTCCATATCTGGTTCTCTTTATCTGACCTTTTTCGCTGAAGTCTTCCAAGCGGTTTTGACTATAAGAGCATGTGAAAGTTCCTGTGATAATGAACTTCTGGTTATTGTCCAAGACCTTTGACTGACGCAGTGGCATGTGTGTGGTGGTGTGTTTTTTTTTCCTCTCTTCTCGCAGGTTTTGCAAAAAGAAAGGTCCTGAGGCAGTAAGAGTGTTATTGCCAGAAGAGACATCTGCAGCAGTATGTTGTTTTTATTAAAGCTCATTATAGACTTGACTTTGAGTCGAGATCATTACCCTATTTCCATTGCTGCTTCACTTATTTAATAATTTAGGACCATGGAATCTACTGAGGCCCTGATGTAAAGACTATTAGCTAAAGAGAAGAGTCACCACCTCTAGGCTTTGGATATTCTGGCTAAAGTAATACTCTAGCTAGTAGCAAACTCCTAAATCTGTTGAGACTAGAGTGGTGTATAAGTTACATTCATATTGCAAGGATAACGCTTCTCTTCTAGCGTCACATTCTACAAGAATTGATGGGGTTTGTATGGGAAATCAAAATGGGGCCTGTCCTATTGCTCAGAATATCAGTTTCCACAGTGGTGGTGGTGCTCTGTTATAATGGTGGCGTCCCAGATTAAGCCTTTTCCTGCTAGAGTTTCTTCTGATTTTTCGCTGACTAGCAATGTGGCTGGTAGTAAATCTACTATTGCTTGTTATCCTGCTCCTAAAGGTTTTGAATAGTGCAGAAGATATTGCAGTGGAACTGGCTACTGAGAAGGCCTGTGGCTGGCTTTCCGCCAACATTGCAGGTGCGTCTCTTTACCCTGCACTGGGGTTTCTAACAGGAATATACTTTTTTCTGAGATCAAGGGATAGAAGTTCATTCCAGTGTCATGAAGTACTTGGTCATACTCATTTTTCTTTTAGTGGGAAGCATGCAGTTGCTCTGTTCCTCCTTGTTTAGGAATAAGAGGAATGATATCTAGCTCCAAGAACCTTCCTTCTTCAGGGATTTTTCAGACTTGGCCCATGTAAGTGATTTTTAGTTATGGAGGCTTGTAAGATGGTGAGGATGAATGCTATGGAAGGTGTCTTCTGAAAATATCATCCAGGCTGAAGTTGTCTTAGCACTGCAGATGTATGATTAGACAGCTACTCTCTCAAGCCACCTTACAGTCCACATGTACACAGTGCTTCTGGAAACTTCTGTAAAACAAACATCTCTTGTACTGGATGTGTTTTCAGCAAGCTGAAGGCAGCTGTAGTCGTTTTAGTCTGTAACAGTGCTCTAGCAACTCTTCAGAATCTTTCAAGCCCATGGTTTTGAGGAGGACATGCCGAGAATCAGGGGAGAAATATCTAGCACTGTTTGCAGCAGCAGGAGTTTAGTGTTTCAGGTGTTGGTCAGAACTTTTTTTTGATACAAAATACAGGGCTTTCGTGGGTGTAGCAGTTGAACTGGTATGATCGCACTGGTTCAGCTTTCTAATTTGGCATTGCTTCCTGACTTAGCTACTTCATGTTTGTTAAACACTCTCGATCCTTTTAATGGAAACACTTCATGAGATGAGTGAGTAGTCAGTGGTAGCTCGTGCCTCCCTTTAGATCTGTGGGTTAACTCTCTCTCCCTACCAGTGCCTCTGCCCATAAAGCAGCATGGGAGCCCAAAATGAGGATGGTTAGAAAGCGTAAACTGTCCTTTTCTCATTTGTAATGGCCCTGAGCCTGGAAGGTTTACAGGGTACTGTGTGGAAATGGTTGTCTGCCTCACTGGAGAGAAGAGTTGAGGTAAACAGAACATGTTCCTTGTTCTCTATAGCGCTGATCAAAAGAGAAGTGAAGGCAACCTTCAACAGAATGCTGAAAGTGCCAGGACTTCCCTTGCCCGGAGAGGAGGCTCTGGAGTTGAGAAGGGACTGTCCCCCAGGCTGTCAACATCATGCTCCATTTCCCTCCCAAATCATCAATGAGATAAAGGTACAGAGTGCTCACTTCCTGGCTTGTTTTAACTCCCATCTTATTTTTCACCTCTGTCGGGGAAGGTGGTGGTGGTTGTTGCTGTGTGTGTGGTTTTTAAATTTTTATTTACGTATTTATTAAGGGGGGGGGAGTGGTGGCATTCTGGTCCTAAGGAACTGGCTGTGAGGAGCTTACTCTTAAATGCATGAAAGAGGGGAGAAGTGATTGCCCTCATTGACTTTGACTTCATCACATCAGTAAGAACTATGGCAGAAAACCAGACTTACGTAGTGTTTTGCAAAAATTCAGCTTTGATCTCTCAGTCCTCTTGTCTATGAAGTGAGGAGAATGCTAACTTCAATGGTCCATATTTTTTGATGAGGACTTGAGGGCTATATGTGAACTACTCTATCATAGGTTTCAGAGATCTGTTTATGAAAGTGCTGAGTATTAATAGGTGAGTCACTGTTGTCTCCTTCATCAAGGATGTACTCTGCATTGCTGTGGGCCCACGGGATGAAGGTGAAGTGATTGACTATGTCTGGCTGGAGTGCTTGCTTGGAAGACTGAGTCAGACGCTTCGGTGCAGAAAGGTAGAAGTGTTTCCAAAAAAAAAAAAAAAAAAGCAACAAAGACAATCTCAGAGTACTTTGAGCCCTCTTCATACCTGTAAATTCAAGAGTTTGCTTTGCCTCAGAGTTGAAAACATAAAATATTTTTTATCTGAACTCAAAAGTAACAAAGTTGCACTGTATTTTTAGACTCTGTAGAACTGCTTGTAACTTAAATTAGCCTTTGTGGACTCTTCTTGTGCAGAATCTCTTCTTGGCTTTGATTCTTTAATGGCCATCTCATCACAGTTCTCTGTTTCCTGCTGTGAATTGCTCGCTCTTCCCCAGCTATTTTTATCCTTTGTGAAACCTATTTTGTCCAGCCTGCAGTATGGGGACAAAGATATAACATTTTTGTTTTCCAGTTCATGTGTCCCACATCAGAACAGCAGCTGGCAAAGTGCACGGTCGAGTTGGCTTCTTTGCTGGGTAAGTCGATCACAATGTGCAATTTAAAATTAAGAAATGTTATTACTGGTCTCTTAACACCCCTGGTTAGAGCTTTCACTCTTTAGAGCTTGTGGATATTTGCTTCTTTCTGGTGCCATTGAGTCTGTGGGTTTTTGCTGCCAATTTGGATGGTTGCTGTTTCTGTCCACCTTCTGCAAAACATCCTTCAGATCTGGTGTTCTCATTCACGTCTCCATTGTTTTTCATGTATTGATACCTTCATATAAATATGTGATAAACTTTATAGCACTTCTGCCTTTGAAAGGTTGCAGCGGAATGTTTTTGTTCTTCCTAAAAGTAAAGATGTGTCCTCTTTTTTGAGAGAGAGAAAGTAATTTGTTCTCTGTGCGTTGTGACTTCTGGGCAAGATCAGTCAGTATAGTAGAGACCGAGTGTGTCATGTAGTTAAACATGGGTTTTGGTCTTTTCTTCCCTTTTCTTCCACTCAGTCTGTAAAATAGAATGTTTTTCTCAGCATGAGCTAATGATCTGGGTGCAGATGTTTTCTCCGTGGACAGCCTTTACGTTTGCTATTCTTAGAACCTTCTCAAGGAGTCTTCACATGGTTCACTCTTTCAGAAAGCAATCCGTATGTGAATATTGTGGAACTTCATTCTGGGGGACAGCTATGTGAATCTACCTTTCCGTTAGACTGTTCCAAGGAAGATCTGATATCTTCCCTGTATGTATGTTTAGCTGCAGTTAAGAAAAATGCACTGTAGTGTTCCCTTTTACTTTCACTTGCATAAACTTATGCAAATCTCTGTATAGTAAAAACTATAAACCACTGTTTAATCTGTTCATAGACTTAAACGTTGTTTTACTCTGTTACACTCTTCTTCTCTGGTAAGTAACGCTTAGGTCCTCTTCTGTTTAACACTGGACTGACTATTTCCATTCTTATTCAGTCAGTCTTCTTTCAAAACTTGCATGCCAGCTGAATGATATTCTTTATTTCAGAGCAGTACCCATCTCTTCTTGGGTAATACTTTCTGGTGTAGTTTCAGAGCTCATAGTTTTGCTTGTTTCTAAGTTCTTGTCTCCTTAGTTCACTGGTTTACCTTCACTGAGTATGTTTTATTTTGGTTATCGTTCAGTTAACCAGCTATGTAAAATGTGCTGTTGGACCAAGACGACGACTATAAAAAGAAAAGGTACAGCTATACAAGTTCACCTCTTTTCTCTTTCTTATAGTTTCAGATCGCGTTCCTCTGTGTCTGGGGCTCAAGTCCCCAGAGAAGAGCTCTGAGAGGCTACGAGTAAAGAATAATCCTACGTATGGCCTTCTGAAACAGCTGCTTTCTGTCTGGAAGGAAGACTTTCTGTTGCAGAAGTCAAACAGCGAGAGGTAGGGGCTTTCTCAGCTCTGCAGAACTGCTGCTTATCTACTCTGGGCTGAAATACTCATGTAAGAGTTTTCTCAACTTCAGCATTGACTGACCTCTCGTGTAAATAAGGCCAGCAGGATTTGGCCAACTGTTAGGTGGCATTGTTTCTGCAGGGATAGAGTAAAGAGGACTATGGTCTTGTTAGTGTTTAGACCTGTCTGCGGGGCTGTCAAGAAGGCACAGTTTAATGTAGGAGCAACTGTCAAAATGGCCCGTTTGGTCTAGGAGATTTTCAGGCTGTACATATTCTGCATTTGGTTTCAACTGTGTGTCTTTTAACTTTCATTTTTGCATGGATAGGTGTGTTATCTTAGAAGATCTCCAACTCTGAAGCTGAAAATTGCCCTGTTTAGTTGCAGGCCTAAAACCAGCTTATTTTAGAAAGTAAGAGAAGAATTTTTCAAGCTGTTTTTAAACATACAGGAACAAAATACATAGTGTGTTTTGGAACTGGGAACTAGAAATTGTGACTTTATGATAGGATACAAAATATGAACTCAAGGGATTTCATTCATTCATTTTGGATGTTAGTCTTTGGTGTGCTTTACTGCCAAACCCAGAGAAGGAATGTGCTTTCTTCTTTCACTCCTTTTCCCCATACTGTGATCCAAGAAGGCAAAACATGAACATAGGGATAAAGCAGGAAGTGAACACAGAATCCATTTCTTGATGTTGGTATCTTTTCTCTTCTGCAGTGGGATTTGTTCCTTTTCATGCTTCGTGGTCTTGTAGAACACGATCTAATGGGAAGTAGTGAAATAGAGAGTTGCTTGCATAGCCTCGAAGAGCTCCCTTGGCCCTCAGTAAGTAGTAATACGTTGGTGTGAGTACTAAGTGAAATAAAAAGTAAAAATGCAGATCAGTAAATCCTGGTAGCTCTTTGAAGTAGATGAGGCCTATCTACTTCCCTGTCTACAGTTCCTGCTTGATACAGCCGGAAGACTGGCATCCAGCAAATTTGTTACTGTTACCAGTGTCTGGGCTGAACCTGTACTTGTGTCACTCCCAGCACTTCCTACCCATTGGAAACATTTTCAAAGAAATTGTAAAACAGTTTGGAGACTAGCTGGCTCTGTTACCAGCTCCTATTCTGGCGTGGATGTGTTTTCTGTGCTCCAGCTGAGAATGACGTGCTGTGAGAAGGCTCAACTGACCAGACTTGCCTTTCAACCTCTTTTCCTCCCACCACCAGAGTGTTGAGAGGAGTCAGAGTATTCTAGCCAGCAGTCGAAATGTAGGAAACGGCCCAAGTCCCTTGCTAAATAATGGCTGGTGCTTCGAGTACAGTTAACACTTGCATGCTGGAGGTGTTTAATCATTTAAGCAGTAACAGTGATCTTTTCAGAAAAGGGTCTGGGGAGCAGTGGTACGGCTGAACATGTAGACCTACAGTCATTCATCTTTACAATCAATGTTGTAGCTTGTCTAGTTTTTGCATCGGAAGGCCATCAACAAGTTTAACCTTGTAAAGTCTTTTCTAGTAAAATAATTAAGCCTCTTGGTTGACATTTGTTAATATGGGCTCTGTGGTTTGTATCTGTCACAGGATTTCTTAAAAGAACTGGAAATACTGTCTAGAGTATTTGTATCAGAACATCATCTGGAAGAGCCCAGGACTAACCCATGTGAACTGGCAAGACAATCTCTAGGTACTGTGACAGCACAAAGCTAGTGGAGATGGACTCATTCATAACTAATGAAAATGCAAATGGAATTTTAGTATTGCTGAAGGCATTGTGGGCTCCTTGTTGGGAGAGTAGCACATATGAGAGGTCACTGTGCAAATACTGCACTGGTCTTTCTATTGATGGATGTGTTGCAGTGGTGACTATTCTGAAGGATTTACATCTGCAAATGGAGCTCTCCAAGTCAAAAGGCGTTTAAGCACCTTGATCATGGCTCGCAGTGGCTGATTTTTAGACTCAAATTCCTTTCATATCTGTACAGAAACAAGCTGTGACGAGACCCAGGAATCAATTCATTCAGGTGGATAAAAGTTACTTTGATCAAGACAGATGGCTTCCTCGTGGCTGTCATTAGTTAAATGTGACTTGTCATGCTGTCTTTTAACAAAAACTGTACTGTCAGGGGAAGGAAGAGGTGAATTTGTATGACATGGAGATGAACCTATATTTATTTTTCACTGTAAGCTCAATTTTGAAGGTTTGATTTTAATTTTCTAAGACTCATATTTTAAAAGTGAAACCATATTAAATATGTACACCAGAACATTGATGGTATTATTCTTAAAGGGTTTATGATGTGTTGTTTTTTTTTTTTCTCTCCACTTCTTGATGGAAGCATAACTTGTAATTTCCTGGGGTTTTTAATGGAAATAAGGGAGAAATATCTGTTTATATTTTTTACTGAATACAGATTGACAGTATTTTTAAGAAATGTTTTTATAGTATGTGAGCATAAATGGCATGTAGCCATTCACTGTTTTTTATAATCCTTCTTGCCTTGAGTTTTGATTTTTTCAGACAGGAAATGCTGCAGCAAGAGAAACTACAGATTGGAAGAACAGACAGGAAAAAAAGGTAGTGAAAAAAAGCATTAAGTGATGTCCTCCAGAGAGCTGATTTGTCCTCCTCTTCATGGAGGACAGTGGGCTTTATCATCCTCTCTGGATAGACCATCATCAACGGTGTCACCTTCCTATTAACCCCCCCC